CATCTTTATTGGAGCATAATTGCTTTACAATGCTGTGTTAGTTTCTGCTTTATAACAAAGTGAATCAGCTATACATATACATATATCCCCATATGTCCTCCCTCTTGCTTCTCCCTCCCACCCTCCCTATCCCACCCCTCTAGGTGGTCACAAAGCACCGAGCTGATCTCCCTGCGCTATGCAGCTGCTTCCCACTAGCTATCTATTTTACATTTCATAGTGTATATATGTCCATGCCACTCTCTCGCTCCGTCCCAGCTTACCCTTCCCCCTCCCCATGTCCTCAAGACCATTCTCTACATCTGCGTCTTTATTCCTGTCCTGCCCCTATGTTCTTCAGAACCATTTTTCTTTTTTTTTAGATTCCATATATATGTTAGCATACGATATTTGTTTTTCTCTTTCTGACTTACTTCACTCTGTATGACAGACTCTAGGTCCATCCACCTCACTACAAATAACTCAATTTTGTTTCCTTTTATGGATGAGTAATATTCCATCGTATATACGTGCCACATCTTCTTTATCCATTCACCTGTCAATGGACACTTAAGTTGCTTCCATGGCCTGGCTATTGTAAATAGAGCTGCAATGAACATTGTGGTACATGATTATTTTTGAATTATGGTTTTCTCAGGGTATTTGACCAGTAGTGGGATTGCTGGGTCATATGGTAGTTCTATTTGTAGTTTTTTAAGGAACCTCCATACTGTTCTCCATAGTGGCTGTATCAATTTACATTCCCACCAACAGTGCAAGAGGGTTCCCTTTGCTCCACAGCCTCTCCAGCATTTATTGTTTGTAGATTTTTTGATGATGGCCATTCTGACCGGTGTGAGGTGATACCTCATTGTAGTTTTGATTTGCATTTCTCTAATGATTAGTGATGTTGAGCATCCTTTCGTGTGTTTGTTGGCAATCTGTATATCTTCTTTGGAGAAATGTCTGTTTAGGTCTTCTGCCCATTTTTGGACTGGGTTGCTTGTTTTTTGATATTGAGCTGCATGAGCTGCTTGTAAATTTTGGAGATTAATCCTTTGTCAGTTGCTTCATTTGCAAATAGTTTCTCCCATTCTGAGGGCTGTCTTTTGTCTTATGTTTTCCTTTGCTATGCAAAAGCTTTTAAGTTCCATTAGGTCCCATTTGTTTATTTTTGTTTTTATTTCCATTTCTCTAGGAGGTGGGTCGAAAGGGATCTTGCTGTGATTTATGTCATAGAGTGTTCTGCCTATGCTTTCCTCTAAGTGTTTTATAGTGTCTGGCCTTACATTTAGGTCTTTAATCCCTTTTGAGTTTATTTTTGTGTATGGTGTTAGGGAGTGTTCTAATTTCATTCTTTTACATGTAGCTGTCCAGTTTTCCCAGCACCACTTATTGAAGAAGCTGTCTTTTCTCCATTGTATATTCTTGCCTCCTTTATCAAAAATAAGGTGACCATATGTGCGTGGGTTTATCTCTGGGCTTTCTATCCTATTCCACTGATCTATTTTTCTGAAAAACACTAACTCTTAAAGATACATGTACCCATATGTTCATTTCAGCATTAGCTACAATAACCAGTATATGGAAATGACAGGTATATCAATGAATGAATTAGTAATGGAAATGTGGTGTATATATACACAATGGAATACTATTAAACCATTAAGAAGAAGGAAATGCTGCCATTAGTAACAACATGGATGGACATTGAGGGCATTATGCTAAGTGAAATAAGTCAGAGAGAGAAAGACAAATACCATTGTGATCTCACTTATATGTGGAATCTTAAAAAAAAAAAAAAAAAGAGTTCTGGCTCTTAAATACAGAGAACAGATTGGTGATTGCCAGAGGTTTTGCAGGGAGAGGGGCAGTGAGGGGTGGGTAGAATGAGTGAAGGGGGTCAAATTGCACAAACTTCCAGTTATAAAATAAATAAGTCATGGGGATGTAATGTACTCACGGTAGCTAGAGTTAATAATACTGTGTTACATATTTAAAAGTTTCTAAGAAAGTAGATCTCAAAAGGTCTAATCGCAAGAAAAGAAATTTTGTAACTATGTATGGTGATGGATATCAACTAGGCTTATTGTGGTGACCATTTTGCAATATATTCAAATATTGAATCATGCATAACTGAAACTAATACAATGCTATATGTCAATTATACCTCAATATACAAAAATAAGACAACTATTTTTTATATCCTATTAAAAAAAAGACTACCCACAGGTGTTAGGTTCACATTCGTTATCAGAGGAAGTCACTGGAATGTATTTATTTAAGGCCTGATACAATTTCAAGAAGTGCTCTTGTGAACAAGAAATGACTCAGGTACAGTGAGGAGCTCTTGAATGTCACCTAGGATTCAGTGATGACTGTGCAATTAAAAATGCATTAAAATGCTAGGCAGCTTTCAGGCTAATCTAGGGAGAAAGAAAAGAGGGCTCAACATTTTCAATCATGAAAGAAAGTGGGTATTGTTGGGGGAAAAGGGGTCACAAGCCAGGTACGTGAGAAAGAAAAAAGGTGTGGATAGACAAGCTATTGAGCAGGAAGGGCAATTTCCTCAGTCTTAGACTATTACACCCAAGTAGATGAATGCGTTTTGAAAGATACTCCAAGTGGTCATCACTGGCAAAATAATGGTTAAGAAAAAATAGACAAGACTCAACACAAGCCTGAATTCTGAGAAACGACTGGATCTAAAAAGCCAACTAAGGACATTTTAAAATATCACATGTTAAGAGTAAGATAGCATCACTGTAGGCATTTGGTAAAACTAACACCCATGATGGAATCTAATCAGAATTATAAATTATAAAGTGATCAGCCCGAGAGGATAATTTAAACAAATTTAAAATACTATTTAAGAACTATAATCATCAATCATAAGTACAATCTCCCTGGATAGTACAGAAGACAGCACAAAAGGTCCTGAAAAACAAATGACCATTATTCACACCTTATAGCTCTTACACAACATTCAGAAGCTGTTAATAGATATTATTCCTTACACATGCACAAAACCCCTGCATTTGTACACCATCAACCACAGACTCTTTTCTGAATACAACCTCCACATCTTTGGGCACGATAAACACACACAACCACATACCCACTCATGAGACATCTGAGTCTGTGTTAAAGAACATGCTCCCTCACTCATTCCCTTTAATGATGGATGTTCTGACCCCAAAGCAGTTAGGATCATAATTTGCACTCAACAGCCAGTTCCTTCTTGTTCAGTCAGACACATAATGTCTATTTAAATTTACCAAGCATGAGAACAACAGAGGCTAGTGCAAATGAAGAGCGTTTTATAAGAACCTAATAAGAAAACTGACTTTCATGAAGCCAAGCAATCATCTTACAAAAAATCTTTTGCTATATAATTTAAATATTCGATTCACTTTAAAGTATTTCTTTAATAATAATTCAATATTCCAAAATATTAAGCACCATGTTACTATCAATTGCTGGCCTTTGGAAAATCTGTAGTTTCAGTTAGATTAAATGAGCAGTACACAGGCTGAAATATTTTTATAATTTACATATTTTAAAACCTTAAAAAATTATTCATAATACAGAGAAAGCCTGTTTTAATCCAAATGTGTTATTATGCCTCCTTTTTGCCCTAAAAGTAATATATTTCTCATGAAAATGAAGCATGATAGTAAAATCTGTTTACTTCATGGAGTTGTCACTGCTCTTTTTTCCAGTTAAGGTACTTTTTAAGTGAGTTAAAGTTCTGGCAGAATCTTTTATGGTTCATCGGGCTTCATTATTCTTTGAGTCATATAATTAAATAATCACATGGAATAAAAACATGGCAGTGCCTATCAATCAAAAGAGTTGTTTTCTCAGAGATCAAGAATCAAATGCCAAGAAAGACTCATCTAATAAGGGCCCCAAGTGCCACTGATGTTACAGTGATTTCAGTGACTAAAAAGGTGATTCACTAACAAGACCTATAAGAATTTCTGTGACTCTAGCTGGCCATGCATTGAGTTCTTTACAACCCAAGTTTTAATATCATATTGTCAATCATATGCCATACTTCTGAGAGCAAAAAAAAAGCAATCTATAAAATAGTCAGTGACACCCAGACAAGATTAATTAACAATTTGGCGTTTTGCCAACAGGATTGTTTTAATGACACAACCTAATCAAAGTAATTTGTGACTGCAATCATCCACAGGATGTGTCAGAACTTTTCAAACATGAAATATACACGTCTGCCTGAAGATGCAATGGACTTTCCACTGTTGGCTTTGGCATTCAGCTCTGTTTGTTATACACTCATTACATCCTGTACTCAGGAAGAAGGAATATTTAAAACAAACTTCTTTCCCTTCTAACTACTGCAGCTGCTTCTACCAAGCAATAAAAGTTGCTAGAGAAATCATATATACACATACATGTAAAATTAGGGAAACAAGCTGCTTTAACGCCTTGATTTAAAATAAGCTCAATCAGTAGAAAAGAAAAACGCTGTAATATACAGCTTGATGAGCAGCTGAGGACAAGAATATACACCGACGCAGTTCTAGAATTCAGGATATCTTACTCAGTGTTTGAATGAGACGAAGGACATTTCTCCTCAATTTTTCTAAACTACTGAATGAATAAGTGAAATTTATGTGGGGAATGCAACCCAAAATAGACAGATACGTAAAATTTTCTTAAATACGATTCTGAGGCTTTAAAGGCAGAAAAATGAAAAGTCTTGCTTCTGTTTAATTCTAATTTATAAAATCATATCATTTTGTAAATCCTAATTTAATGAGTTCTAGGTTAAAGGATACTTTTCATAAGTCAGCAATAAAATTTAGCTCAATGTTAACAATCATCCTTTAGGAGGAAAATATCAACTGTATTGCAAAGCAATAATTAGAATATAGATTATTTTAATCTTTACAAAGATTAAAATCGAGAGGCATGTTAACACCTTGCAGGTCTATGGAAAAGACACTGAAAGTATCTGGAAAAAAAAAAAAAAGAAAAATGAACAGCCTTACTCTTGACGGTCGCCGTCCGGGTACAGTTGTAAAGAATAGCCAACTCCCCGAATACTTTTCCTGGACCCATCGTGCACAGCTTCACACCTTCTTTTGTAACTTCAACCTTACCATCTAAAAAGAAGAAGGAAAAACACATCATTTCGATTCTCTCTCATGCTTCATTTCATTTGTTGCATTTCCAAGATGAGATGAGGGCCAGGCTCATTTTCAAAAATGCAGAGCAGCTACCAACTAAAACAAAGTCATCCTCAAGATGCAGTGCAAGAAATGCAATAAAATATGTAAGAAATCCATATCCTTTCCTAAATTAATCACTGATAAGATTAGAGATGAGACTAAAAGAAAACACCAAAAAAAAGACAGAGATAAAAATGGCAACATGTGAAATTATTCCAAATGCAATATTAGAAAACTCTGGTAATTCCAATTTTAAAGTCATTTTGAATTTGAAAGAAAAATTGAGTGTGTACATTTTGTACAGCACACTTCATACTTGGAAATTCTCATCTGAGTGAGGTAGCTATTATGCAAAGGGAAATTACTTTGATCCTAGAGCATTATTTAATTGCAGCTCATGGGATCTTTTATTTTTAAACATCTTATCTGACTTGGGCAAGACTGTTTCATCTGCTTCCCAGCCCTGCAACATGGACTGTAAGGAAACCAAACTATAAGCGTTGAGGAAAAAGAAAGAGACACTGGGACTGTCGATGTTCCACAAAGGATTTGGAAAATGAAATGCTAAAGAAGGAAAAAGCTAAGTAAACAGCGTGCACTGGGTATATACATTGTTGCCTGAAAGTAAGGAAATACTATTCATGAAGGAAATGATAAAAAGTGCATTTTTTAAAAAGTCATAGCTATGTACACTAAAAATTCCATCACCTAACATAATGGGGGAAGAAATAAAAAGGCAACAGAATCTATTCTACACTTAATCCTACCCTTCTATTATTCCTCCCAGTAACTTAGCCACGGTCTACTGGAGGAAAACCTAATGCTTGGCAGTAGCTAGTGACTGAAAGGAACTAATGCTACCAAGTTTGTCCAAACGTCAGGCCTTCATGCACTGACTCCATAATTATCACTTTAGCTATGTGCTTCCTGTAATATTTAACTTTTCGGAGTTTTAGCTTTACATTTACTCCCACCTTTTAAAAAATCAATCCAGTTTTACCTAAGCAATAATATTTATAAAATTATAGGGTTGTTCAAATACCTATTGAGATAAAATCTTATATATTAAAAAACTTCTTAAAAAGCTGAATTCATGTACCACTGATGCAAGATCAATCCTTCAGAGGGCACTGTTCTACCCTGAAAACTATTTCATCTGAATGGTATCAATGGAGAGAGAATGCTGCAGTAATTAAGGTAAAATTTCAGACAAAATCTACTCACTACTCTTGAACTGTGTATCTGTTCCTCCTCTGTGTTAAGAAGCTGTTTAGGAATGAATGCATCCAACAATCCTAGAAGTTTGGAAATACTTTTATGCGGGTATGTCCACTAAACAGTCTAGCTTTTTCATGCCTTACTTCTTGACTTCAGGAAGGGAAACTTTCCTTGATAGGTACATCAAAACCAACCCAGGAAATTCACATTTTTTAAGCTTCAGTTGCTCCTCCCATGACATCCCCACCCAGCCCTTTCTCTCAATGGCAAGTCTATTCCTCTAGAAATTTCATCTGCCACTCAAGAATGAAAGACAGGCTCAGAATACAACATAATTAAGACATTTATACATCATTTGAAGTCAGACCAGGAGTTAAGTTCTGGTTCTCTTATCAGTTCCTTACTAGCCTTGTGTCCTTGGGCAAGATGTTAATTTTTCTATGCCTCAGTTTCTTCATTAATAAAATGATAAAAGCAAAGTACCTATCTTATTGTGTAGTTTATAAAATGAAATGAGATAAAGCAGATGCAATGCTTTGCACAGTGCTGGCATATAGCAAATCTCAGTAAATACTACCTGTTATTATTGGTATTATTTGCATTATGTTTCTTTCTTATCATTTAAATGTAGGTAGGGCTTATTAGATTACACTGAAGCACAATATTCCATCATCTATTACAGAAACCAATCAAGGTCCATGTAGGATAATACTTTTTCATTTTTGTTTTTTAAATGGAGAAAAGATTTGTTTCAGATTTTCTCCCTATCGGGGGCTGAGGAGAGAACTTTGGGGTTTTAATCAATATCACATCCAAAGAAGAAAGAAGAATCTCAAGAATTCACACTGATCTACCTGGCAGAATGCAGTATTTTTGTACTCCTTCCTACTTGGCTATGTCCAGCCAACATCTGTTGTAGTATTGCTTCAACAACTATAGTCTTATGGTGGAGGTTCCCACGAATAACATGGTAACAATTTTCTCACACATTATAAATTTTTTTTGACTTAAAGCTCTAGCTTTAATTATATTACTAGAACTAAGAGCAGAATGAATAATGCCTAAAGAACTTTCATACACAGCTCATTTTGTACAAGTCTGCTTCTCTGTCTTTGGGTCCCACGGTTTAAAGTCTTCAGTGGAAAGGAATCCATAGGAATTAGACCACTGCTACGAATCCTGCTGGACAGTTTCAGAGTTAGGTCTTCTTAACCACTAACCAACCTAAAAAAAAAGGCCAGACATTGGGAGTCTTGTTTTAGCTCCGTGGTTTTTTAAAAGGCATCTGTGGACCCATCACATCAGAATTAATTTATAAAATCCAGATATTCCTCCCTCTGGGAAACTGTAAATGTCCCTCCACCCAGTGACCACTCTACTTGGTCCTAGAGCCCCTTACTTCTCTGAAAAACCATGCTCATATAACACTGATCTGTTTTAACTTATGGACAGTTCATCTTATAACTGTTCATGTTTCCCATTCTCATACGACTTCTAGAAGGTTCACAGCATAATTGTATAGGACTCTGGGGTTTCGAGTTTGTAAAAACACTCACTTCTGTTTACAGCTCATTTTCCTGATCTGATATTTTCTTAATTTTCTCAAGATTAATTCACTTTTTGGGAAAAGATAGGTATAAGTGATTATATATATATGAATAATTAGTGTTGGTAACAGGAGGTTGAATCCCATATTAATTAGAATAGCAAAAAAAATTTTTTTTAAATACTTGCTGAAACAAAAATAGAAAGTTGGATGTCAAAAATCTTTTCCAGATTAAGTTAAACACTGCAGATTCAATATATTCACAATAGCCAAGGAAGAAAGGGATCTGATCTCATATAATAGTTGAGAAAGGTCTAAAAAGCACTGTATATATATTTTTTAATGAACAGAAAGATCTAAACGTTAAACAGAAACAAAGTGTTTGTAAATTGTTACCCTGAGTCATAATTTGATCACTTATCCTTCCTCATACCTGTTGTGTGGATGGGGAGTAATATAGGGAGGTTAAGATTGACTGGGCACTAAAAAGAAAGAAAGGTACACACAAGGCATTAATGAGAGTTTTTTGAGAGACATTTAGAAGTGCTGTCATTTCCAAGAGCCCAATAAGATGAGTTATTGATGTGAAATGTGAATTTGGTTAAGCTCATTCACTGTGCCACACACCAGCCTTGAAGCAAAATTAGAAGTGATTATACATTTACGAAGGATTTCCAAGTACGGACTAAGTGGTTCACTTAAGAAAACTAAGAACAAGACAGTCAAAAGTTTACTGCATACACCCAGCAGTCCTTATTCCCACCTGATCAACCTCCTTTAAAGTATTAGATTCATCTTGAAGCCACTCCCCTTATAAACTCCTTTATCACACTGTGTCTAAAAACAAGATTTGTTTTAAATGGACTCCATGTGCATGGAAAGTAGGTAGGCCTACGTGTGGTAATTTTGGTTGTGAGGGGAGGGATGTGGGGAAACAAATAGGGAAAAAGTCAAGTAGGCCGAATATATAGCACACTTGTGCAGACGCTTACAGCACTGTAGAAATAGGCCAGCTTGTTGGTTTTTATATAATTATAATTTGCTGTTAACTTTAGGAATATATTTTGATGAATTTACCTCAGGTCAGATTTGATTAATTTCTATTTCTTTAAACAACAGAAGAGAATCATTAGCATTTATTCATGACTGTTTCAATACTTCAATTTAGTTTGATTTTAAAATATGTTAGATTTCAAATCAAAGACTTTTTTTTAAAGAATAGCAGAAGGCCATTTTCGAACATCCTAGTAGAGTTCTAGACTTTTTCCATGATTTTCCCTGGCTAAACTCAACAGCGACGAGAGGCTATTAGAACTGTTACTTGAGGAACTCATAATAATCCAAAATGTGGTTAATTTATGTCTTCTACTTCTGCTTTTTATTCATTTTTTTAATGTGATACTATACTGGTGTTATTTTTACTATCCCCTATCTCTACCAGGAAAGGAAAGAAACATTCAAATAATTTTTATTTGAACTTTGCTAAACTGCTAAAGTTATTTGTGCCAGAGATGTTGGAATGCTGGCTAAGATAAAATGTAAGGGTTATTTATAGTTTCATTTGGCTCTTTTTTTTTTTTTTTTTTTTGCGGTACGCGGGCCTCTCACTGCTGTGGCCTCTCCCGCTGCGGAGCACAGGCTCCGGACGCGCAGGCTCAGCGGCCATGGCTCACGGGCCCAGCCGCTCCGCAGCACGTGGGATCTTCCCGGACCGGGGCACGAACCCGTGTCCCCTGCATCGGCAGGTGGACTCTCAATCACTGCGCCACCAGGGAAGCCCATAAGTACTAAATTTTGCCACTTTGAGCAATAATCAACCTACCTGTTGCTCTTTGGTATCACTATTTATGTACCACTTTTGGGAAATGCTAAGTGTTAAGAGATCCATAATAAAGCATCTATACTTTTATCTTTTATAAGAATCAGTAGGTCCTATAAATAAAAGAAGACATTGAATTTACAAGGAGACCCAGAATCTCCTGGCTTTGGTTATCTTCATGGGTTTTTCACTAACCAGTGGTTTTGTACCATAGGACTTTCATGATAAGGCAAATCAGTTTAGAGATTTACTACTGGCAGGCTAAGACAGAATGGTTGGCAATAACCTAATTATGAACACTCTGTGCTTAGTTCCAACAATCCTGGTTGGAACATTCAAGACAACTTGATC